TTTTGAACTCTTTTATATTTTTCATGTTTTCTTTGCCTCACTACATCTGTGTAACTAAACAGCACAATGCTAGTTTATTTGTTTTGGTTTAATTTGGCTTTGATACCTAGTAACATGCTTTTTCTTTAATAAAATAAAGATTATAAAACTCAATTGGTTTTCTGAACAGTACACTTGTCATAGGGTCATCTGAGAGTGCTGCCTCGGCCTAGCTTACTTAGAGTCCTGTCAGTGGTGCAAGTTAAGTCTAAGGACTACAAAGCCCACTTGACCTTTTCACAATAATATCTGAGAGTACAAGGGTGTTCTTATGTGGGCAGACCTGTGAGAAGGAGTGTTGTATCATGGCTAGCTGAGTTTGGACTCACTCAGCCCATTTTAGCATGTGCAAACTCCTGATTGCTCTCTGTCCAGGCTTACACATGTGTTTTCGAACCCGTGTTTGCTCACATTACATTCCAATGCTTTCAACTCATTCCACTGTGAACCTAACAGACTCCATTTTTTTCAGACTACAAATCCCACTCTCCTTCCATATCATCACCGTCCCCCTCTTAAGAAGATGCTTTGCTCGGGACTGGTGTTTTTGCAGAGGGCAGCAAAGCCCTGTGATGGACGACCCCCTGGTCTTTGTCTTGTACTGCCTGGGAGTAACTCCGTCCTTATGATTAGACAGTGGTTTGGGGATGGCCTATGGTCGAGGAGGATCCGTGCCTTGAATTGGTGTTTTTCTGTCATTTCGAAGCCATGCACCAAAGGACCACAGATTTATTTATCCAAATTGGTGGGCCCACAGACTACAACAGCATGTCTGATTGGATATGATCCTACAGAGATATCATATAGATCCAGGAGGATCTGTGCCTCGGGTTCGTGTTTTTGCACCACTGCAAAGCCATGCGCAGAGGGATCATTTATAGCTAGGGCAAACCACCATTTCATCGGCACCCACCCACAACAACACAGAAATCATGGATCTTACCTGCGCAGATCTAGTGTTTTGTTTATTTATTTATTAAATTAAACACTATAGCACAAACCAACCAACACACATATAAAAACATACTAAAATTATCATAATGTGCTCCCAATCATATTTGGAGATATACTCAATCTCTACCTTGTCTAAAATTCCAAAATCTTGCAATGGTACATAATCTTTCCCCTTTATTCATAAAGTAAAGGTAAGGTTCCCTTTGACATTTAGTCCAGTCGTGTCCGACTCTAGGGTGCAGTGCTCATTCCTGTTTCCAAGCCATAGAGCCAGCATTTGTCCGAAGACAGTTTACTTGATCATGTGGTCAACGCGTCTAGACACGGAATGCCGTAACCTTCCCACCGTGGTGGTACCTATTTATTGTCTTGCATTTTTACCTGCTTTTGAATGGCTAGGTTGGCAGGAGCTGGGACGAGCGACGGGAGCTCACTCCGTCACGTGTATTCGATCTTACGACAGCTGGTCTTCTGACCTTGCAAGCACAGAGGCTTCTGTGGTTTAACCTGCAGTGCCACTACGTGCCTTTATTCATACATAAGCTATAATTTTTCTCCAAATACCTATAAAAATATTCTTACTTAACAAACCTTTTTTGACTGTCAATTTATGGTTAATGGCTATATTTCAAATTTCTTTATAACACTTATTGAACTGTACGTCATATTTTACTTTCCATTGCCTTGCCATTATTAACCGTGCTACTGTTCATAAATTTGATATTGTTTTGTATCAAATGTATTGAGATGGCTGCACAGGGTTCATTGAAGCAACCAACATGAATCTGACCGAACTCCGGGAGGCAGTGGAAGACAGGAGCGCCTGGCGTGCTCTGGTCCATGAGGTCACAAAGAGTCGGATACGACTTTACGACTAAACAACAACAACCTTTGTCAGCAAGGTGATGTTCAGCTTGGCCGTTGCTTGTAGTCCCATATCTAATCACAATCCATTTTCAAGGTTTCATCTCATAACTGTCCCCTTTAAGCATTTCAATATTCCATTTTTCTTTTCAGTTTTGACATTTGTAAAAAGGAACAGGGCAAGCTGAGGACTTTGGGGGAATCAAGGAAATCTCACGGCACGTGGCAAAAGAAGACCTTGTAACTAAGATCAGAAAGTATTTCTTTAAAATTGTATTAGTTTTTCAGTCTATCTACATTCAATTCATGCTTGTTAAACATCGTGTTACGTGGGTTGCTTATAATTATTTGTGTTTTGTGTCTTGGTGTCTCCTTAGTTGTCCCTTCAAAATCTATACATTAAAAAAAAAGTAAACCATTCATGTGTATATTTTAGTATACAATATTGGCTACTATCATAATATTGCTTTCACAGTATACAGTGTTCTCAAAGTCCTCTAATAACTTACCTAATAAAAGTTTTTCAGGTTTCAAATTTATATACAGTGGTGCCCCGTATAGCGAGGTTAATCCGTTCCGGATTAACCTTCGCTATACGAAAACATCGCTGTGCGGGGCAGGAAAACCTATTGGAACGCATTAAACTTAGTTTAATGCGTTCCAATAAGTGTGTAAACTTACCCCCTCCAGCGATGTTTTCGCTCCGGCGGCCATTTTGGAGCCGCCGATCAGCTGTTCGGCGGCTCCAAAATGGCTGCTGGAGCCCCAA